ATAATTTTAAATTAAAAAAATTTAAAAAAAAAAAAAAAAAAAAAAAAAAAAAAAAAAACCTTCAGCCCCTCCCGTCTTTGTCTCTTTGGCCCGGAGACGAAGAAAATGTTTTGTCTCCAATCAGAGACAAAGTCAGGGAGGAGTGGAGTTTTTCATTTATTTATTTATTTATTTATTTATTTTTGTTTAAAATTATTAAAATAATTTTTTTTTAAAAAAAAATTTTAATATGATGACCATCATGTCAACAACAACATGAGGAATAAGTCAAATTTGGTGGAATTTTTGGACAATTCAATAATTTAATTGCACTTGTTTGAGTTGGATGGACAATTGAACTTTTTCGTGTAATTCGGTGGCTAAATTAATTTTTTTCTATTTTCTATTACTACATGAAAATAAAAAGGATTTTTTTTTTTAGAAAATAAAAAGGATTTTTTTTTTTTTTTAAAAAAAAAACAATCAAAATAGACCACATATGGTCATATGTTCCTGATGGTGGATCACCAATTCTGTGGCTGCTGTAACATTAACCATTTAATCACATCCCTCCATGATAAGTCACAACGCTACGTCTCGAATCGAGCAAGGGTTGAACTCGACCAACCCAGCCGACACCCCATAGCTCTATCCATCCTTTTGATTATAGTATTAAAGCTTAAATTTTTATTTAAGGTTTTGTTTTAAAATTGAAAAATATTATTGAAAAGTGATTTTTGAAAAAGAAGTTTTATTTTTTGAAAAATATTTTTATTTTTTGGTATTGTGCTAAAAGTCATAAAATAAAATTTCTATTTAATTCATTTTCAAAAAGGTGGGCATAAATCTATTATAAATTTATTGTTTATAAAATATTAATTATTTTAAATTGCTAAATATAATAAATTTAAATTAAAAATATTTTTAAAAATTTAAATTTATGGGCTCTAAGATTTTTTTACTAATTTCTGCTCATTAAGACTATGTATTCTAGTCACACTAGAATTCTTTATCCATCCCCTGTATTTTACAAATTTCCAATACAAAAATTCATGACATTCGTGTTACATCAAAAGTATGTTTAGAAGTTTGACACAACTGTCTCGGTCACCCCCACTCTAGAGCCCAGCACAACATTCTATGTCATTGTTCAGTGTCAAATCATCAAGTAATAGTAGTACACTTTGTTATGCTTGTGAACTAGGGAATTCCTCACAATTTCCTCTAGAAAGAGTCACAAAATCTAATTCTTTTGTACGGAGTATTAGATTTAATTTACACATATATTTGGGGATGGACCATCTCCGATTTTATCTAATGATGGTCATTGTTATTTCGTTATATGTGTTGATGACGTGCATATGGCTTGAAGCAAGTATCACGTGCATGGTTTAAACATCTTCAAGATTATCTACCCTTGATTGGTTTTAAGGCTACGAAAATTGATGTATCATTGTTTATCTATTCTACTGCTAATGCTCAAATTTATTTACTTGTCTGTGTTGATGACATACTAATAATGAGCAGCAAAAAAAAAAGTCTCTTGGCTTCCATAACAAGCAAACTAGCGAAAAATTTCAAGATCCTAGATATGGGACCTCCAACTCTCCAAGCTTCTTCTTAAGAATCGAAATAGTTCACAACAAGGGGGGAGATGAACCTATCACAACGAAGGTACATGCTTGAAATATTCAAAATATCTGGAATTGAACACTATAAGTGCAACAAACTCATCTCAATCATATGATAATCCCACACAATATTGCAGCTTAGTTGGAGCACGTCAACATTTAGCCATCACAAGTCCAAATTTCTCCCTTGCCGCAAACAAAAGACAATTGCTAGATCCTCAACAGAAGTACAATACAAAGTTATAGCTGATGTCTCAGCAAATGTAACATGGTTAGTTGCTTTAATTAAAGAACTTGGTCTTACTATGCAAAAACCACCAAAACTTTGGTCTGACAACCTTGATACTACATATTTGTGTGCAAATCATGTGTTTCATGCAAGAGCCAAACACGTTGAAATATATTACCATTTTGTTTGTGACAAAGTAGCATCAAAGAAACTACAATTAAACTACATCTCTATAAAAGACCAACTGGCAAATATCTTCACCATTAACCAAGCCAATAACCAAAACAAGGTTCAATGATATAAGGGACAAGCTCAACGTTCTCTCTAGAGAAACTTAAGCTTGGTGAGGCATATTAGACCTCTGTATTCTAGTCACACTGGAATTCTTTATCCCTTCCCCTGTGTTATTGTAAATATATCTTTTATCATTCCTCATCTAATTAGGACTTTTTGTATTCTTATAAATACATTTCTTCTTGAACTTTATAAATTGGATTGTTCAATAATAAAATTCTTCTTAGAATTATTGTTCTTATCCAGCCGAGCTAACCAGGCAAATTGTTGTGGACCATGGTCCACATAGTGTTATGTGGACCATAACAAAAAGTACATTTTTAATATAATAAATGTATATTATTTTTGTACTGAATGTACATTATACAATATAATGTACACTCAGTATAAAAATAATGTACATCCCTTGAATACAACGTACATTATTTTTGTACTAAATATACATTATTTTTGTACTGAATATACATTATTTTTGTACTATGTGTACATTGTTTTACAGTATAAAAAATACGGTTTCTCACAACTTGTGTGGAACAATAATGATTGAGCTAACCAAGTCTAATCCAAATAATAATCGAAGAAATGGTAAAAATGTGTACAAATCTTAGAAGACATTTTTCACTAAACAATTTTTTTCCCTTTAACTTAATTAATATTTTTTGTTGACTTTATTTTTCTTGGATAGTCAAACATGGGAGTTTCTAGAAAATAATTTCTAGATGTCATTAATTTTGTGGATTTCTAATGCACCCTATTTTTTTGAGCTAAATTATAGATTGGAAAATGGGGGCATCCCATAAATGTGAAAAGGATGTAAAATTATGTGACTATTCATTCACATATAAAGATTTTGTTGATCGCAAGTGAAAATTAGGCTGTGGATTACGTTTGTAAAAAATTAATAGGTCGAGAACAAAAAGCAGATTTAATTCTTTTTTTAAACTAAATACTCCGTAATATTTTCTGAACATGCATCATATCTAAGAAAAAACACCGACAATCTCAGCTAAGTTGATTAGATTGTTGACTTGGTAACCATAAACTTACAAATTTAACTTCCAACAGAAATGGCATATTAACTTTTTTTTTTAGAGTTAATACCTAAAATGGTCCCTCAACTATGTCATAATTACCAATTTGGTCCTCAACTACCATTCTTACCCAATTAAGTCCTCAACTATGTAACTTTTACTCAATTAAGTCCTCAACTATACAATTCTTACCCAATTTAGTCCTCAACTATACAATTCTTACCCAATTTAGTCATCTGTATTAATTTGACTGTTTGTTGACTGTCAAAAGTCGGGATAAAATTATAATTTTACAAGATTTCTCCTTCCTCTCCATTTAGCAACGCCAAACCATGCAGCAATACACTCCGATCAAATTTCGATCGTCAAAAAATCGTTGGAAATCAAATTCATGGGCTATCCGATGCATAACCACTACTTCGATACTGACAGGTTTAGAACCCAACCGGAGCTTATTGCTACATGGTTTGGCGCTGCTAAATGAGGAGGAAGGAGAAAACTTGTAAAATTACAACTTTATTTCCACTTTTGACAGTCAACAAACAGTCAAATTGACAAAGGACTAAATTGGATAAAATTGTATAATTGAGGACTTAATTGTGTAAGAATGATAGTCGAGGACTATATTGGTAATTACAACATAGTCAAGGGACTATTTTGGGTATTAACTCTTTTTTTTATTTGATTTAGTCAGGTATGGACAACTTAGGCTGGTAACAAAGTGAATTTACACCGTGCATAACCTGTCTGACCTAATAAAGTTTCTAAAGAGATTTATTATGTAACATAGTGATAAATTATACACATCTCCCACCAAATCAACAAGAAAAGAGAACTCTCTATCAACATCTGCTAATTGTAAGTACCCAAAATGTTGAAATAAAATGGTACCATTTGTCAAGGCAAGAAATATTAATGAAACCAAAGCCTATTTTGTAAGAGTGGGAGCCAAATAAAAGCACAATAATCCACTACTCTGCATTTACTTAGATCATTCCTTTTTCATCTCTTGAAACAAAATAATGAAATTAAACAAATGCAACCTTGGGAACATATAACCAAATATGTAAGAAGCATAAGAAACCTAAATTATATCCTTTTGGTGTATGAAACCATCATCAACAACCTCACTATTTTCTGAGAAATTCTTGATTTTTTTTGAGAGCTGAGATGATAGGTGGTCTCAATATACTGTTACTGTTTAGGTTAGGCAAGAAGATCAAGGTTAACAGGGTCCAGTAGAAGAATAGCATAAACATTGCAAGATTACAGAACCTTCAGCAGTGAAATTCTATTTGGAAATATGTATTTTCAGTATCATTGACATATACACTAAGGAAGTGTGTGGAGGCTCCTAGTTTCAATGTAATCTGTAAAAGAAAAAGCCTTTTGTTATCTCCCCCCCAACAGGCAGTTCACATAAAAGTGGAACTATGGCAAACTTGTCAGTTTCAATTCAAAAAACCATTCATCTATAGCACCAAAGATATAGATGAGATGGGGCTAATCCCAGCCAAGATGGCTAAGGATACAAACTTGTAACCACAAGGTCACGAGTTCGAATCCTGGCCTTCTTGGTTTGAGCCGATCAACTATGGACAACCTAGGCTGGTTTACCTCCTTATGGTCTGTTGCTGACTAGGGTTACAAGGCGAGATTTACCCACTGCACACCCTTGGGTAGTAGTTGCAGGTTTCCCTCGTCACCCAAAAAGGTATAGATGAGATAACGATAATTTGAATGAAACAAACCCTTATAAAATCATCATAGGAAGCACGAAAAGATGGAGACAAGCAGTAAAGATTATCTATATCAAGTGAAAAAAAGAGCCCGCAATTGAAAAAACAAATAAATATCATCAATAATTTCCGAGCTCTGTCATTTCGACAAGAATGATATTTCCTCTAACAACGAAAGGTGGTGAAAAAAGAACATCTTATCGAAGTGCCAAAAGTTCAAAATTTAAGGAAAAATTGGTGCAATTCTGAAATTCCACTAGTTAGAAACTACCTGAGAAGCCTCAGTCCGCGGCCATACTCAAATATGTACACCAAAAATGCACCATAAGTAGTTGAGAGGCCAACTAAAGCATTTCCATCATAAGTTTACCGGATTGTGACAAACTTGTTGGTTCCATGCTTTGCCCAATAAGGCTTGAGATCAATTGGGTTGGAGAAATTATAACCTTCAGATGCAAGTTTCTCCAATACTTTCTTAAATGCTCCTAGACTCATCTTCCGTCCTGCTATCCTTGCACCACGTCGTTTTGTGCTCATAGGCAATGGATAGGAGGATAAATTAGTGGTACAACATGCTGATTGCCACCCACCAGAGCCCCACCTATAACACTGCTGTGGGTTCCCTGTACATGAACAAACAGGTACAGGAATTCCTGAGATGTCCATACTCATACCATTAATAACAACCTCTGCACTCCTTTTGGGAGCCCTTGCCCGAGAAATAGATGGGGTAGGAGTACACTCGTCTATGGGAATCCTAGGGCCTCTCTTTGCCTTCTTTGCTTTCGGAGACTTTTGGACTTGGGGTTTATCTCCTTCCCTCTTCTTGACAAGGGCACTAACAACCTTTTCTTCACAAACCAATTCCATCTGAGAAGATGCAGTTTCGGTTTTTGACAGATTCGTATGCTGCAGTGTATGAATAGACTGAGCAGAAGACGTCTCAGGCAAGACACCATACACTGGTTGGTGATGGTGTTGATTCCCGGAGAGCACATTCAGACACTTCTCCCTACTATGGTTAAACCAAGCATCCCTCATGTACTCCACCGGCATTGCAGATTCTGAGATCCCACCAACCCGGTGATGTTGATAAAGACCTGGACTGGTTGATGCCATGACAGCTGAGAGGTGAGGGTGGTGGGGTTGAAAGTGATGGTGGCGGTCACGACCACCACCACCACCACCACCAAAGAGTGGCTTTTCTGCAATGGTAGGCATGAGTTGCAGACCCAAATGGCTCTTCAAGGCCGTGGCTGTTGGGTCAAAAAACCCCCAATTCTTGAAATTCAAATTGCCATGCCCATCCATCTTGGCTGGAAATCAAAGGGCATAAAGAGATAAAAATTCAATTTAAAAATTGAAACTTTATGAATACCCAATTTTGAGTTCCTCTTAATCTACTGCCCAACAATTGTAGTTTCCATCACAACAAATCAAACCCTACAAAAACCCAAGCAATAACATGCATCAAAATCAAACCACAGAAAAACCACAAGGCAGTACTCCAACAATACTAAAAGCAATGACTAGAAGAAGAGAGGAAAACATGTAATCAGAATGCGAACAAGAAAACCCGATTCTAAAATCTTCCGCCTAATGTCAGATCTCTAAGCAGAAATTGAGAAAACAAAGACAGCAGACATATAACGAAAATGCTGAGATTGAATTTCAAGCAGATATACACACACAATACAGATATATACATCTGGAGAGAAAGGGCACTTACTGAATGTGAAGCAGTCGGCCGGCTAGGGTAAGAAGACGAAGAAGAGGCTTTGGGAGTGGGAATATCACGCCTGAGAAGTTAAGTGATGAATGCAATCAATGAAAACACAAGTGTCATTTTTTGTTTTGAAAACATATTGCCTTTGTTGATTTCATAATTATCTTTGTTTTAGCCTTCCAATTGCTCCCTATTTCTTACTAAATTGAAAAAATATATATAATTATCATTTTTTTCCTTATTGTTATTGATTTTCTCTACAATTTATATCGTTTCTCATTTTGGCACAATTGTGTTAAGATTAGGAAGAATGAAAATAATACAAAATAATAATTATATACAATGAACTACACATCCGAATAGAGTAATATGTTTAAAAGTGAGTATCACTCAATTTTAAGAAATAATTTATTCTTACGTTAAGACTACTAACTCTAGATGAGCACATTAACAATTTTATGTCCTCATTATATACTGAGTCGCAAGTTCTAATCTATTATTTGTTTGACATATCTCATAATACGTTTTAAAGCAACTCAATGAATCTCTGTTGGAATGTGCATGCGTGGACAAACCTTGTTTACAGCAAAGGAGATGTCTGGTCTCATTAACGGGAGATATTAGAGTTTTTCGTCAATACTTCGATATAGTGTGATGTTTGAGCAAGTGCCACTTGTAGAATTTAGATTATGTTTGGCTGAAATAGGTTTCATATATGACTTTTACACGAGAGAGTACCAGCTTTGTTAAGTATATTTTTTGTCGTCTTCTCCACTGGAGAAGGCGGCCGTTTGGTCGTCTTCTCCAATGGAGAAGGCAACCGTCCGGTCATCTTCTCCAGTGGAAGGCGACCGGACGACCGAAATCTGACGACGGTGGCCGAATTTTATCGCCAGTGGTCGGAATTCTTCACCGGAATCCGTCATCGGAATTGAAATCGTCTATAATAACAAGTCATTTACCGACTTTTGGACTTCATTGATCCAATTTAACATGTTTGAGAGTTTAATTGTATTTTTTTTTTAAGTTTAGGGGCCTAATTGACCCTTGGGATAGGACTTATTTGACTATTTTCTCTTTTTAGTTTTTTCACGTAACCAAAATATATTGTCAAATTGTATTTTATATAAATACCTAAATACACACACACATCATTTTATATATATATATATATATATATATATATATATATATATATTCACATTCATATGGGAACACCCTACTACATAGACAAATCTATACCCTCCATTTAAACGATGTGTGTGGCTGAGATTTTATGATTTTTACTTTGTTTCTTTTTAATTTGCGTTCGCACACACTTAATCTAATCTAGATCATTAACAAATATTAGATGGATGCATATGATTTGTTCTCACGTTCTCACCTAAGCAAGTGTTCTCATATGAACCTAAATCTATATATATCTAATCTAAAAACATAATAAGCCTCAATTAAGGTTATATCATTGATTTATGTCCCTCTTTTTGTATGCAAATAAATGTGTACATTCTACTTTAAATGTTGTACATTTCAATGTTATTAGACAAAACTATCATTGCACCGTTATAACACCGTTAGTTTTTCATTCTAACATTGATAACACATCATTATTACCATACACCTATATCTATCATATCTTTTTCTTATTTTTAATTATCATTTTATTAAAATCATTATATATTAATTTAATGCTTAATTATATTTTAATTAAATTTCTATGAATGACAAATTATATATGTATGTGTACAAAATACATATATTATTTTTGTATATATAATTCAAATTATAATTTCTAATTATTTGTATTTACCAATGTTTTAATATTGGGCATGAATTTTCACGCATCGCGCGTACAAAATGCTTGTGTGTGTGTGTCTATATATATATATATATATATATATATATATATATATATATATATATATATATATATATATATAATTTTATGTCTATTATACATGATTTTATGGAAATAATTTATGGTAGGTTTGTATTTACTTATTGATATACTCTCATTTTTTGTGTAGAATTTTTTCTTCATCATGCTTTAATTTAGATTTTACTTTTACTATGTTTCTTTTAATCAACCACGAACTCAAATTCATTTTTTTCATTTTAATTGATAGTTGTTTGAGTATAATATTATCCATATTTGTAATTGACCTATATGTAGTTTCAGTGGGCAATGTACTGGTGTGCATTGTGGCATTCGTTGGTGTGCATTTCCACTTTCGTTCCTCGATACTAGGTTTTCGTGTATGTATGCACTTAGTGTTCATGTGATGTGTGTCTGCATTATAAATTTGGCATGTGTGTAGTATAGTACATATGCGTGCACATTTACTTGTAGTGGTGCATGATGAGTATGTATGCATTTCATTGGGATCGTGTATACTAATGGATACCCAACATGGGTACCCAGTCGGTACCAACTAGCACGCATTCAGGCGTGACACTCGGACTCGATAGTCAGCACTCGAGACGTAGCCAGTTAGTCTTAGCTCGCTAATTACCCTTCCACAACCTCTAATCTCATTAGTTATAACCTCTCATTTATTACCCGTTAATTACTTATAAATCCTAATAATTGCCTTATTAATTACCCATGAATACCCCCTATACACCATCTACAATCCTTTTACAATAAAAGATGGGAGAAACGAGAGGACGATGAGGTTATCCAAATCTCTCTAGACTAGAAAACATGCAGAGACATATGTACAAAATCTCCTATAAAATAGTGAATTTTTGACTTGGCACCGCGCCAAAAATACATGTTATTTTTACCTTTCGATTGGAAAGGGTGTTTGCTGGAGAAGAAGAGGCCACTGCCTCATTGTAGGTTGGACTTACGGGACTAGACGCGGGCCTGGCAGACCCGCCGATTAGCCCTGTAAAAAGGACATGAAGTGGTGTGGCGGACCAGCTAGTCGCTCCACGACCATTCGCGGGACAGGTTGTCCCAACGCATAGCCCCGCAAGGTCGCGAGGCTCTGTTAGCAGAACCCTGAGGTTCCACCTTGAGCCCCTAGCCATGGGACTTCTTGCGGGTCCCATAGACTCGCAAAGCCATTCTGTCCTGACCCCAAAAGTGTTTGTTGTGATTTTTGGGTCCAAAACGTATTTTGTAAATTATTGGTTGTTTAGAAATGCCCATAACGTATTGAGAAAATTATTGTGTCTTGAGGGATTGATTGCCAAGATTTGGGAACTCCTATTGTGAGGGTTATGTATACATATAAATATATTCATACTTTCACTTATAAAAGTAGTATGGTTATACTATGATTATGAAATGTTATGTTTGCATAGCCTAAGGGAAAAGTTGAAAGAGAGATATTATATAATATATATATATATATATATATATATATAGAGAGAGAGAGAGAGAGAGAGAGTAAGGTTCAAGTGTGGCGATGTCCTTAGGTGCGGCGTCACCAATAGTTCAACAAATATACACCATCAATGTTAGGAAAATGCATCACAAAAACACACACAAATTAGGTACGCATCACCAAAAACACACCATTAGATGTGAATAAAAACACCATACAATGTTTGGAAATACACCATTGGTGTGTGGTGAGTTATATGGTGTATTCTTTTGGGTCTGTTGTGTATTTTTTTTGGTGTTTTTTTACATTTCATTGTGGTGTATTTCCCTTACACTGTTGGTGCATGTTGCTAACACTGTTGGTGTATTCTGAAATTCCGTCGCACCGCCCCACCTAAGGACATCGCCGCGTTTGAACTTTTTCGTATATAAAATATACATACATATATATATATACATATATATACACACACACACACACACACACACACACACACACACACATATATATATATATATATATATATATATATATATATATATATATATATATATATATAGCAAATTTAGAATTTTTAGTAGCCATTTTGTAGTACAAATATTTGTCGGGTTCACTTCCGATTTTAGTTGAGTCAAAGTGATTTCGTATTCTCCTAAGTGAGATGAAAAAATTGATATATTGTACGGTCAAAATGTATAATTTATTTTATCCTAAGAAATATGGGTTTGAACGCTCTTTACACTTTTGAGATATATTGAATATGGTTTTAAGAATCACGTCTCAAAAGAGTCTTCCTCTCATCCGGGTGATGAGTTTCTTCCTCTCATCCTATTGATGAGCCTTTACTCCTTCACCTACTTCATTCCTTTAATCTAATTCCTTATCTTGGTTCTCAGCTCCATTAATGTATTCACCAAACATCACTAAATATCCACCTACCTAGTTTCTTATATGAATCATGTCTCCTGCCCAGCAACATCATCTCCCCCTCACAGCAATCCACCCACCACCCTGCTCCAATCACTATCATCCCACCATGGCCTCCAGCAGCAACCACCCCATTGACCTGGCAAATGAATATGCTTCTATGTCCCTAGGAGCCGACGAGGAAACAGAGTTCCCTATTGAAGAAGGAGACTGTTCTGATTCTCTAGTGGAAACTCCCTACATTCTTGTTGGCAAACTTCTCACAGAGAAAACTATTCGCTTCAATTTCTTTAAGGATATTATGGCCTCAGTTTGGAGACCAAAGCGAGGAATGATGACGAGAGAAGTCTCCACCAACCTCTACCTATTCTACTTTGTTCACGAGAAGGATATCCAGAAAGTCCTCAACGAAGGTCCTTGGTCTTACGATCAATGCCTCCTCCTCCTTAAGCAGATTGAGCCTAACATGTCTCCCCATGGAATCCATCTCACCCACGCTGATTTCTGGGTTCAAGCGTACAATATTTCCACGAGCATGCAAACTAAGAAAACTGCGGAAATGGTTGGTGGCTTTCTTGGCTCCTTTATTGCGGTAGGCACTGAGAAACTCGAAGGTCTTTGGAAGGACTTCATGTGGGTCAGAGTGCGATTGGATACCTCAAAACCGCTAAAACGGAAGATGAAAGTTAAGCCTCCTAGATGTGACCCTTTGTACATAGATTTCAAATATGAAAGGCTTCCAACCTTCTGTTTTATATGCGGCTTGATCGGGCACAATGATAAGTCATGTGACATCCTCTTTGATTCCAAGTCGAGAAATGTCGAGCGAGCTTATACTCCGAAACTCAGGGCCATTGGCCGGAGAACTC